TTTGTTGACAACCTCCCGGTCAAATCTTTGCTGTTTTAAAGGTGGTTAGAATCTCCAGACGTCTGGGTCAACTGTACGTGTTTACTGGTTTGCATTAGGTACAGAGCAGATCAAAGTAGAAATCTTATACTTCCCAGTTCAATAGCAATTTAACTGTTTAATTTAATTCACACAGGACAAAAAGGGTCCTGTCCAGGGCCACTTTATATAAGTCTTGAGGTTGGCACAGGATGGCACTTGCAGATAAATAATGGCTTAAGGGCTGGATGGACATGAGGGCAGCATCAAATTGTAGGAACAGGGTGCTCTATTTGTGTGGATATTCCCTGCAGGGACAGGGACAATGTGCTGTCTGTTCTGAGGTGTGTTTCAGAGAAAGTGTGCCATTTACCAGCTTGTTGTATCCGGGTGATGCACTACGTTCTAAAGACGTAAAGAAAAGCTATGATTAGATATACAGACATGCCTTTTTAAAGACCATATTCAGTAAAAAGACTAAAAGATTACATATAGCTAATAGATCTGGTGCTGTCTGATTCAATGAAGATTATTCTTTTTTTTAATCTTGAGCAAAAAATAAAATTCTCTGTGTGACGCATCATTACTAGAGAATGTTTTAAAGGGGTCCTATTATGCTTTTTCACTTTGTCAACTTTAGTTAGTCTGTAATGTTGCTGTTTGAGCATAAAAAAGATCTGCAAAGTTACAAAGCTCAAAGTCCACTTCAAAAGGAGATATTTTATTTAACAGAAATCACTTTTCAAAAACTACAACGAACGACTCGTTTGGACTACAACGCATATCTTCCGGGATTTGTGATATCACAAATATCGACGAATGGGACGAGACCTGGTTGAGCTGCACTAGAGAAGGCAACAAGTGTTATCACTATGTCGGAGACACGCTAGCTTTCCCAAGGCAGACGAACTTAGAGTGGTTACAATCATCCGGGTTTAAATGGCATTCAAATTGATTTGATTTTGACACAATATTTACACTGAAGCTCGGCTATGCTAAGGGACATGACATTTCCCGACCAGGTGCCGAGTGGAGCCAATCACAACACACACTGGCCCAGCTAACCAATCACAGCACATTTCGTTTTTCAGAAGGCGGGCCTTCATTTGATACAGGAACTATTCGAGCCGTTCATGCCAGACTGGGGAGAGAGGTGTTGTAATAATGCAAAATATGTGAAAAATAATGTGTTTTTCGAACAACCTAGTATGAGAGCCTGTTCTAGTACACCCCCAAAACAAAATCAAGAGCATAATATGACCCCTTTAAGCAATTTTAGGCAGTAGTGTCACTACAAATAAAAAAACTTGAACCGACATTGATAAAATTACAGAAAGAAAAAATACCAAAAATATGTTTGTTTATGAAGGCATGATTTCATTCACTCTTAAAATTAAAGTTTCTTTATTGGCATCTATATGATTCCATTAAGAATCACATTTCACGGAAATCCACGGAAACTTTCCATTACACAAATGGTTCTTTATAGTGGAAAATATTATTTAGATTATAGCAGTGTTCTTCACACTCAGAAAAAAAAACGGTCCTTTTAAAAACTGTTCACTGAAAGGTTCTTTGAGGAACCCAAAATGTTTTTTCTATGGCATCACTGTGAAACCCCATTTGGAACCTTTATTTTTAAGCCTCCCCTTATTTGTAACACATACTGCATTTTGTAGAAAACATTAAACATATTTCAATTAAATTAATAGTTAAATTATAAAAACAATGTTACTACTAGTGTCAAAAATCTGATGGGTTAAGTTAAGATGGGACTACACAGAGTGAACTGACTTAATGGTGAACAATTGATATCTGAATTAAATTTATTCCAACATCAAAATTAGTTGAATATTAGGGTGCTATTAGTGTTGGATAGAATAAATCGTCTGCAGACTCCAAACCTTGGGAGTCGGCCCTCGATTCACGTCAGAATCGAAGAATCAATTCTTCTTGCAATCAGGTCCCAGCTGTAAAAAGATCCATAGTGCCTCTAAATACACAAAATACATCTGTTCACATTGTTCATAGTGTACTAGACACAATTTGCAGTGATCCATAACACTCACATATATAAAAAGCAACTAATATCAATGGTTTAATAGACTCTTAATAAGAAGATACTCTGAAGAATGTTGGTAACCAAACAGTTTTGGTTCTCAACGACTTTCATTCTATTTTTGTCCATATAATGGATGTCAATGGGTACCTAAATTGTCTGGTTACCAACCTTCTTCAAAATATCTTCTTTAATGTTCCACAGAAGAAAAAAAAGTCATACAGTAAGTAAGTAA